GGAACTTTTTAAGAATACAGATATATTGCAGAATGTTTCTCAAATTTGAGTTCTCAAAATTGAGTTCATCTGATTTTTCTCATGGTTAGATCCAGGTTTAAGGTCATTGTGTCTTTCAATTTTAAGAGGAGTTGATATTTCGCCATTGTGAGTTTTTAGAATGAAAAGGTGGAGGGAACATGATGTATATGGAGCGTGGTGGGTGTAGCAGTCATAAGAAGCATTCCGAGGTCGCTTATCTGCAACAAGTGAATGACTCTTCTGAAAGAATCATTCTCTTAGGGAATCACCCTACTAATAGGGAAGGCACATAGATCAAGAGAAAAGAAAAGCACAGCCTCACCATTTTCCTTGATAAGAATCAAATGTAGGCAGAATTCTTTCTTGTGTAACATGGAAATAAATTAAACATCTGAAGAATGGTCTCTTCTGCTTGGAAACCTCAAAGTTTCTTGGTACCAGGAAACATAAATAGGCATTCTGTTCTTTTGTAGTAAAAGGGTGACTGTCTCCACCTAATACCAACACATCAGGTGAAAGATGAAAAATGTAGCCCAGCATCCAAACGCTGAGTCTTTTTAGTTTATTCTGAGAATAACCGGACATGTTCTAAAAAAGTTTTTTCATTGCAGGTATGAGCAATGTCTTTCATCATTGAGAACACTGAGACTCTTTAAAAACAAATGACTTTTGAAGCAGATGAATAGAAAGGATGGTGTTATAGTTAGGAACAACAGAGAAATGAAATGACTACAAGTAAATGCTTTTTTGGGTGCCATCCATAAAATAATTGATCTTGAACGTACTAAAGTTTAGAAGTGACATGCTTTGGTTTGAATGTCCCCTCCAAAACTCAGGTTGAAATTTAATTGCCATTGTAATGACATTAAGATGTGGTTAGGTCATGAGGGCTCTGCCTTCATGAATGGATTAATGTGATTATCTTGTGGGGAGTGGGCTTGTGTGAGTGGGTAAATGAGTGTGGCCCCTTCTTGCTCTCTTGTGCACTCTTTCCCTTCCGCCTTCCACCACGGGATGCTGTGGCACAAAGGCCCTCGCCAGGTTGCTGGCACCTTGATATTGAACTTCCTAGCCTCCAGAACTGTGAGAAATGAATTTCTTTTCTTTATAAATTACCCAAATTTAGCTATTCTGTTTTAGCGACAGAAAATGGTCTAAGACAAAAGAATGGTAAAGAGAGGGGGGTGGTGGCTATAACAAATACCTGAAAATGTGGAAGCAGCTTTGGAATTGAGTAATAGGAAGAGGCTGTAACAGTTTTGAAATAAATGCTGGAAAAGGCCGGTATTAGAGTGTTAAAGGCGATTCTAGTGAGGGCTCAGAAAAAGAGAATAGCTGTAGGAAAACTCTGAGACTTCTTAGGGATCACTTAAGTGGTTGTGATCAGAACATTGGTAGAGGCATGGACAGTAAAGGTCATTCTGATGAGGCCTCAGACATAAATAAGAAACATGGTATTGGAAATTGGAGTAAAGGCCATTTTTGTTTTAAAGTGGCAAAAGACTTGGCTGTGTCCATGCCCTAGGGCTTTATAGAAGATAGAATTTAAGAGCAACAAACTAGGATATATGACAGGAGGACTATCTAAGCAGCTAAGTGTTCAAGTTTCTACCTGACTTCTTTTGGTCACTTACAGAAAAATGAGAAAAGAGATAAATTATTTAGAGATAGATTTTATAACTAAAGGGAAGCAGAGTGGAAAGATTTGGAAACTTCTCAGCTTGAGAAGAAAAAAAAAAGCATTTGGGAGCGAATACTAAGGATGTGGTCAGGCACCCATTTGCTAAGGTAATTAATACAGATAGAAGGGGGTCAGGTGCTGTTTATCAAGGCAATGGGAGAATAACTCTGAAGGCATTTTAGAGCTCCTCAAGGCAAGCTAGGACCTTGAGAACAAGGTTTCCAGAGAGGTGCCTGTGGGGCCTCAGCATTCACTGTTCCAGACTGCCTCGGGACTCTGCTCTCCAAATTCCAGGGCAGCACCCCTCAGCTGCCCCAGCCATGACTCAAGTTGGGAGTCATGTTGTGCCACAGCTCTAGAGGGTGCGAGTGGTATGCTTTGGTAATGTCCACATGGTGCTGGCCCTGCAGATGTGCAGAGTGCATGAACTATGGGGCCATGGTGACCTCCACATCGATTTTAAAAAATGTGTCAGAGCCGGGCTCGGTGGCTCAG